GAACTGCCCTTATGCTAGGACAATTTCAAATTAGAAATCGAAGTGGTACTCGATTGTATTAAAATTTATTTCAAAGTTTTACTATTAGTGACAACAGGTAAGTTCTAAGGTCATAGGTCTTATTGGGTAATTATTATTATAGTTTGCGGTTATGTAGTAGTTACTATTAAATGATTTGGAATTGACTTTAAATTAATTGTTCAATAACTTTAGTTTTCTTAAATTTTGTAAGTTTTTAGTAGTATGTACTTTTCTGTAATTTTATTGACAAACCAAAAAATGTTTGTGTTTTCTAAGACAAATAAAGATTATTTTCATTTTTTTGTAACTAATATAGTTATTTATTTATTGGCAAAGCCTCGTGTGCTTTGTTACTGTAACCCACCGCCACTTTAGGAACATTACTTTTAATTAGATAAAAAAATCCTGTCACCAATGGTATTTGAACCTGAGACCCTTCGACCTCAAAGCCATGATTCTAAACACTGAGCCAACAGGCCTCTTCATATTATTATTATTTTTTAAATATTATTATCCTGAATAACATGTTTGTGAAGTTTTTAACGAAAAACAAGCGAATTTTAAAATGTTGCAGGTAACTTTACACAGGGTCATGAAATGTGATTACCTTATTTAAGTCAGAAATATAAAAGAAATTTTGGTAAAAGACCATGACAATGCTATTCTACTGATTCACGAAAGGTGTTTGAGTTGCAGTAAGGTTCCAAGCAGCAGGTATTCCATGAAATAAGGTAAAGGGATATTTACAAAATGTATTGCACCAACTATTCTTTCATACACTGTACAAACTTGATTTGACTTTTAATATGCAATAAATTTTATTTTCATAAATTTATTGTTTTGATTTTGAAAAATGGAAAATTACTTTAACAGTTCTAGAATGTGTAAAATATATCAGTTGTTTTATTATACATATTCAGTCTAAATATGTTTCTGTTTTATTTTGATGTGTAATGTATCACCCTCATAAGGTTACTTTACACACATTTTTTTAAACTAAAAAATAAAGGTCAAAATATATTGTTTTGTGGAAACCGATAACATGTATCGATAACTAATATCTAGAAATAATAATAATACTTAATAGACTTTGATATCGAAAAGTAAATGGAATTCACTATAATTAAATAAAATTTAAAAAATCATTATACAATATTCTAGATACAATTTGAGTTCCATTTTATGAAAATATGCAAATAGGTATACAAAAAACAATTCAAGTAAAATAAGTTTTTCAAAATATAGTTATTAATAATTAATAAAAAATACAATTATTGTATTAGAAATCTCGAGTTGGGTTTCTTATTTCCATTTTTCGTGGATACCGTCCATCGAGAATTTCTGGCAATAAACAGGTATAATAAAAACCTTCAAGTTCTTTTACCATTCTTTTTTCCCTAAATGTTTCATTCCTTGAAATCTGTAATGAACATAACATTCAAAATTTAATATATTTAATGAAAAAATACACCGCATATCTTTTCTACCGCCATTCCCAATGGTGTCCATACCACAAAATAACAAAATCTCCGCTTTGTTATATTTAACAGACCCTGGACTTGGTAGAAGCAATTATGTGATTTTTTTAATTTTATCATATTATTTTCATCAACCGTACAAAAATTTATATTTTTTTTTATGGCTTCCAGAGGATAAAGTTTTGATGCAGTTTTCAGGCATTTAATTTCTATAACTTCATCTTCACCAATGAATCCATCTGGACTAGCTTCTAAAGCTGGCTTAATTTCATTTACAAACAAACCGCATTTCTTCAAATAAAATTTTTAAAATTTTAATTCCCAAGTAATAAAAAATTTACAATGAACTGATGAACTAAAGATGTTATCAGAAAATGCTTAAAACCGTTTCTAGGATACGAAGGGAGAACTTACATTAAATTCTGATTCAAATTGTGTAATTGCAAACCACTCATGATCTAAACCGTATTTGGTATTACTATTACCCACAACGGTACTCCAAAATGTGATGCTGTCAGCCTATTAATTCTTTCCTGCAACCATAATTGATTTGTTGACTGACCTCTTGTCTTTATTTCCAATTATTTTAAATCTTCTTTTGATTTCTTTAAAGAAGCTAGAAATTCAATTTTCTTGTATGCATAAACGTCCTCTGGAAGGTCCGGTGTTGGAACAGCATCTGGACCATAATCAGCTTTTTTAAATTTGTTTTTTTCCAACTTCTTTTTGGTTTTGTCTGCGGAACTTTGATGACGTTTTTTTCTTTGCTTATTTTTTCGAATTTTCTTGTATATGCCGGAAAATTTTTATCAAAGGGTTCATTATTAAAATTGTAGAATATCGTGGTCACTTTACAGCGTGTTTCATATGATCCCTTCATTGAAAAATTAATTCTTTTGCCACCGACAAATTTACAAACAATCGAATTATATTGTTCAGCCACGTTAGTATCCATATTTGTAATGAGACTACTAGCATTAGTAAATTAACCGTTGCATAGCAATCTCAATATCTTGAAAAAGACCACATTTTTTCATTGAAGAAATGTAGTTTTTAACATTTCCCGAACATATAAAATAATTTAATTGTTTGCACAATTGGTGTTCACCAAACACATCCGATGGAACATTTCTTGAGTCCAAATTCAAATTTATTTTCTCCTGTATAGAAATATTTTCTTTTATTCTATAACGTGTGACTGAAATTAAACAAGTTCGCAATCTTTGCAAATTATTCTCAACAATTTTTCGAAGTCCTTTAGGTACTGGATAATTTTTTGAGTCACAACGTTTTTCAGCTACAAATTAAAAAAAAAATTTTATGTAAATATTAGTTTCTGATTTTGAGAGTAATCTGCGGACCTACTTATTTAATTATTTATAACTTTTTTGATTAATAGTAATGTATTGAATCATTAGTACTAAAAATTGTACATTTTAAATATTGATACTGTAATATTTTGACTTTAAATACCTAAAAACGATATTAGAGGTCTAGCTTTTTAATGATTTTGTATTTAATTGGTAGTAGTGTACTGAACTGTTGATATAATAATTATTGTATTTGCGATCTCGTGGTAAATGTGTTTTTACGTATTTGTCCTTATAGTCATTTGACAGCGAAAAAGTCTGACTTTAACACAGACAGAAATTTGTCTAAGTATGTAACCAAGAATACGTAAGTATTTTATAAAAATAAAAATTTCCTTGGTTTATTCGGTCTTTTTTTATTTTCAATTCTTTAGCACAGCACTACATATGTTTCGGTGCTGTGATAAAGAATTGAAAAAAAAAAGATTTTATTTATATAAAATTCTGCTACGGTCAAGAAATTATTCTTATTTAAGTATTTTAAATTCAGCATGAAGTAAAATATTCTAAATTAACACTGCCGATTTTTCGATTAAGTTGCGCAAATCCCAATTTTTAAGATCGGAAGTACGTTTTTTGGGACACGTGAGAACCAGTTTAAAGCAATGGAAAAGATTGCTGCTTCCATTGGACCAACATTAAGAGCTCTCAAGAATACAGATATATCATGTCTCAAACAAGTTATTAAAGGGTCAAGAGAACCTGGCAATAAAAATATTGTTCAGCAACGAAAACTTTTTAGCACAAAAATCGTCCAAGTCGAGCCTTCAAAAAGCTTTTAAAACCATCAGAATCTAAAAAAAAATGAAATAGCTCTAACTTGTTATTATAAAAATGATTTAAAACATAAAGGACACATTGGTATAATATGGTATTTTAAAAACAATTCACCAGCTTTTTGCATTTTTTGAAGTTTTAATTAAAAAGCAAAAATATAGTACCTACCTAATATATAATTTTAAAAAACATTTAATTATATAAAAAGTTACGATATATTTTCGGCGATCGGTATTTTGCTCAGATTTATCTAGACGAAGAAAGAAAATTACTGAACAACCACGGTAAAAAGAGAAGAAGAACCTCGGTCGATCTATAAACAGCTGTAGCAAAAATATGAAATTTATGAATAACAATACTTTGACAGATCTCAGAGCAAACTAAGGTTTTTCGTTTTTTTTTGCCGTGGATACTTGGCAACTTTCATTTTTTGAATTTAAATTTAAACAATTAGGTAAACAAAATCCAAACATCTAGTACCATTCAACTTGGCAACATTGTCGGGTGTCCGAGTTGACTAGTGGGACGTAAACGCTAGTGTAAACTACGAGCAGCGATTTGTATAAGCTGACTTAACAGTTCATCTACTAAAGATGGATTTTGAGGGTAACGGAAGAGAGTTTTCGAAACCATTATGGATGCTTTTTTAAAGGCTATGTTAATTCATCATCCGGATTTTGCGAACCCTTTTTTCATACAGTGTAACAGTTCGGCTGTAGCTATAGGAGGTAGTTTGTTTCAGTATTCAAAAGTAAATGAAAAAAGAGTAATTGCTTACACCAGTACAACGCTTAAAGGCAGCCAGTTAGGGTACGCTGTGACAGAGAAAGATGCATACGCGCAGCGTTGCCAACTCTACGTCTTTTTACGTAGATCTACGTATTTTAGGCTTTTTCTGCGCATCTACGAATTTCAGTTCCACAAACTACGTATTTTTTTTTTCAAATGGTACAAAGCAAAATAACATAACTTATTTATATTATGCTGAAGAAGCATATTTTCCGTGGCGCCCCTTTCTGCGGGACAAATTATGTAGCGCGGACACGTAAAACTAGTTAATCGAATAACCAAAACCAAAAAGTCCGAAGACAAAACGTTTCGCTTCGCTGCGCCGTGCCGTAAAAAGAAGTGTAACTAAACCTAAAAATATTTTGATTCGAATTTAACAAAGGAGTGGTTTGTTTCTACCTTGTTCGATTTTACACTATTTCATGTAAGTAACAATGTATTTTTGATATATAATAGCGATTCCTCCTGGCACAGGTATATTGATTACCTAAAAGGAGGACGCATTTCGTGAATTAAATGAATTTATTTCAATATTTTTAGCTTTCTGTTAATCCTGATTTTAATTATGGAAATAAGCAGTGATAGTGAGGAAGAGCGGAGTGTCACTCCTACTAAAAAAAGAAAACTGCATTACGAACAAAAATATTCGCACTTGTGGGAAAAAGACCAAAAATTTTCGGGTTGGGTCAAAAAAAGCAACAAAGGGGATTACTATTTTTATTGTGAATCATTTAAGTGTGACTTGAAATGTGGAGAAGGTAAAAGGGTTTTGAAGAAGCATGCAGAGAGTATTAAACATAAGAGTATTGTTAAAGGTGGGTTTGGTGTTGGCACTTAGTGTGTGTCTTTTTTGATTTTAAATTTGCTTTTAATTTACTTGCTTTTTAATAAAGTGTATTGAATTAGGTATTACAAATATTCCTTTGCTTGATTATTTCATTTTTTAAAATAATTTTTTCTGCAGCCAGCTTTGAAGCATTTATTTTTACTTTTAGCTGCAGTACGTCAACCTACTCTTACTTCTATGTTGCCCAAGTCTTCATCAAAGTCATTTACGGATAAAATTAAGTCTGGAGAAATAAAGATGGCATGCTTCTTAGCAAAGCACAATTTACCATTTAGTTTAGCAGATGATCTAGAGGACCTTATAGAATCAGTTGTTCCAGAATCAAAGCTTGCATCAAAATTTACTTTTGGAAGAACAAAAGCCCATGCTATTGTTACAAATGTTACTGGTAAAGTAGCAGAAAACCAATTGATTAAAATATTACAACAAAATAAATTTTCACTAATAGTTGATAAGAGCACAGACAGATCGTCAACTAAACATTTGGCACTTATTGATTTTGATGTTGAAGATAGTTTCCTATTTTTAATGCCAGTTGTTGATGGTATAGCTACATCCTTACATAATGCATGTAAAACTTTTTTTGAAGAGAAGAATATTCCATACAAAGATAATATGGTTAGATTTGCTGCTGATGGAACTAACTCAATGTTTGGACATCATCCTCTATCTACATTATTTCAAAAAGATATTCTAAATTTATTTCTAATAAAATGCGTATGTCACTATTTTCACCTATGTGCCTCATATGCTTGCAAGAAATTACCATGAGGTGTGGAGGACTTTGTTCGTGATGTTTATTACTATATACAGAATAGTCCAAAACGTATTGGAGACTACAAAGAGTTTCAATGTTTTGTAAATGTTAAACCATACAAATTATTGCATCTCGCCCAGACAAGATGGCTGTCCCTGTTATAAGTTGTAAAAAGACTTCTAGAACAACTACCAGCTTTAAAATTATACTTTCAAAGTGCTGTGTTAACTGACAGATTGCTTGCAGCTCAATAAATTCTCGATAAATGTATGGAACCAACCACAGAATTATATTTGGAGTTTTTAAATTTTGTTTTGCCATACTTCAATGATTTAAACAAAGAAATGCAATCTGAAAGCCCAAAACTCTACTTGTTATGAAAAAATTGTTGTAACCTACAAAACTATACTAGAATGCTTTTTGAAGCCAGAATGTTTAGATTTAACTGAACAGGCAAAAACAAACATTCATGCCCAGGACAAAGCTGCAGCATCAGAAACAAAAATATTGAATATTGATTTTGAAAAAACTGAATACCATTTACCTTTAGAAGACATTTATTTAGGAGGCAATGTTGCTGCTTTTATTATAAAGAATAGGAACAATATTCATTCAAATCAAATAAACCAGTTAAGATAAAAATGTCTTGAATTTTACCTGGAAAACCTTAATCAAATCAAAAAGCGCTTCCCCTTTGAAGATGAGCACAGACAAAGGCTAAAAATAAACTTTCAAATTGAAAATAGCTTTTTAAAAAATTTAATTATTTTTTCTAAGTTAAAATTCTACAACTACGATCTGTACTACAAGAAATATAAATGTATAATGATGTTAAAAATGAGAAAACTAGATAAAATGCATAAAGTCCTAATCAGCGGTTTCCTAGAAACTGGTAACTCTGATAACGCCGACATCTGCAGGATCTGTTACTAGGGCTGATGTAATTCCTCCCCTCGAAGATTCAACTCCAAAGGATTAGCGAGGGAGTTGAACGGTGGTATGGTCTACTGGTACTTCTTCTTGATTTACTGGCTTACGATAGGTTGAGATTTTTCTAACAACAAAAACTCCTGTTAGTAAGGCCAAAAAACAATACATAAATATTGTCCATATACTGGGGGTGTAGCGCACTCCTTGGAACTTGGTTATTGGTTAATTTTCGACGAATTTTGATTTAATTTGGTGTAGTTCATCTAGATTAATTTCTTCTAATTCAAGATTGAGATTTAATTTTGACGATTCAGAATTTTGGAATTGTAGTTCGGGAAACAACATGGGTTGACTTGAAGTTTGAAAGTTTTCTTCATTTGCGGTTTTTTTCTGTTTTGTGGTCACTGAACAGCCGACTGGAATTTGAATGAGGTAACTGCCTATGGCTTCAATGACTTCTGTTTGATCATGACATTGAAGGGTGATTGGTTCCTTTGATGGGAAAGTTGCTATCCATTGATTTGTTCGATCTAATCTTTCGAACAAAGCTTGTTTTGTTGTGATTCGTGTTTGTTGACATGTGGAGGTGTTTTGGATATTTAAGAGGGCTATTTCGCATGGATTTTCTTTCTTGATCCCTTGGAGGTTAGTTTCGCCGCAAATATATGATGTTGCTGGGTGTAGCTTAAGGCAAGGCTTGCTCATAAATGCGTAATTGAAGTTATCTTTTATTAAGTAATTATTTTTTGGAATCACTGCTTTTAACTGACCCTGTTTCTCGACTGGTACAGGGTACAAATGATAATAGTCAAAATTTTCAATAGTCGTTAAGGGAATTTTAATTATATAAGTTATTTTGTTGTTAAATACGTAGCTCTCGATTTTTATCAGTTTTTCATATATCAAAATATTTTCTAAAGTTACTTCAAGTGGCAATTGACTGCCCTTTAATTTCCTTTGAATCTTTTGTAATTCCTTAAAGAAATCTGCGGTTTTCATGATAGTTGGGTGCATAATATTAAGTTTTGAGAATGATATAGATGTTTCTATATCTTGCAATATTGAAATAATTATTTCCAACATATTAATAATTTGAATAAGGGTGTCTTTTATTATTATTGTATTTCCTAACTCGATAGTTGTTTCTACAACTGAAGCGATTCTTTCTAGTTTTTCTTTTAAAATTTCCTCATTATGTATTATTTGATTAACGGTTAAATTGAATTTATTTATTAGTGAAATTGACAACAAATTTTGGTTTTTTATGTTTACGGCCATGTTATTCTGATTTCCTAGGAGTTGTTTTATTAATAGTTCATACCGTTCTCCATCAGTGGAATCTAAGTTACCTGATATAGCTTTGAATATAGATCCTAGCCCATTAATGAGTCCTCTTTTTGTCCTATGAGTTGAAGGAGGAGGTAAAATTTCAACTAGTTTACTTTCAACTTTTTCTTCGGTGAATGCTAAGATTTTTAAGTAATTTGCAATGTCGCTTGAATAATATATGTTTTTTGAGGCATGAGTTTTTAGATCCCTTGAATGATTTTTCAATTTATCAATTTCCACAATTATCGGATTTAGGTCACAATAATGAATTAGATTAAAATAACTTTCTTTTATTTTAGCTGTTCCTAATTTGACGGGTATGAGTCCAAAGTTATTTTCCAGATTTTTCATTGTAATTTTGGATGAGGCTCCGAGGGTCCCAAAATATCTAAAGAAAATTAAGATTGTTTAGTTTTAAAATCATACGTGTTTTTGAGTGGGCGTTTTAGATTATTCATGTGAATTTTGTCTTGTGTATGAGTACCTACTGTTTTCTTCGTATTTCTAACTACTTTTAAAGTTACCGGTTTTTTAAATTTATTAGCGTTTTTTCGTCTATCAATATTTTTTTCAAAAACCTTTTGTTGGGGAGCAAACATATCGGGTTCCTCGCGATTTTTATTGACCTTTTCAATAATTTTATCTTTGCGATTTATTAGATCTTGATTAATTTTGGAATACAAAATTTTGGTTCGTTCTCTATGATTATCGATGTAATTATTCAATAACATTTTATCAATTTCGATTCTAAAAGGGTCGTTACTACTTACGTGTCCTTGCAATACATCAATAGGTTTAAATTTGGTTGAAGAGTGAATCGAGTTGTTATAAGCTAAGATTGCGTATGTCATTTTTAGTTTTGCGGGGGTATTTTGAAACCCTTGGTTGTTGAGAAGTCGGAGATGTTCAATTAGAGTGGAATGTAGTCTCTCAATCATACCATTTGATTGAGGGTGATTTGGTGAGCAAAAATGAATATTTATTTTATGTAGTGCTAAAAGTTCGCAAATTATAGAATTTTTAAATTCTGTTCCATTATCTACGGTAATTTGATAAGGGGTTCCATGATGCGAAAAGAAATTAATTAAGTTGTCAGCAATTTCAGTAGAGTTTAGAGAATCTATTGGGTAAGCTTGTGCATATTTTGAGAAGCTATCAATTATAGTAAGAAATTTAGATTTTTCGAATGTAAATGTGTCTATATGAACAATTTCGAAGGGTTTTGTGGCTGTAGGGGTTACATTCATTTTTATATGCAAGGGGTTGCGTTCATATTTACTTTTTTGACAGATTTCGCAATCGTTAATGTATGATTGCACGGAATCTTTTAATCTTGGCCAATAGTATTTTTCTTTGATTTTGATAACTGTTTCGTCTATTCCACGGTGGTTGGATTTACCCTCGTCGTAGTTTTGTATGATTTCTTTTATGTCGTCTTTATTTGTAACATCCAGTAGTTTTTGGTTACATTTTTTCAATTTAATAAAAGGCCATTTAAAGTTTTTATGTAATATGTTACAAAAATTTTCGTATATGTTGGGACTTTCGAAATACATGTGATATACAGTATCTGGCGATACGTATTCTTTTATAAATCTTACCACATCATTTTCGAAATTATACTCAGAAATTTGTACATGGATTCGTTTTCGGTTTTCAAAAAGAACTGTTATTTTAGGTATGGCTGGGGAATGTAGTACCGAACTTACAAAAATTTGATTTATTCCGTGATTAACAGGACATTCTGCAATTGGAATTCCTACGATAGGATTTTCGTCGGAATTTGAGTGTACAGTGTCGTCATCGTTTTCATCTTGGGGTTCTAAATCGTTTAGAGTATCAGTGTCGGGATGTACTTGTAAGGATGCCTGGTCAAAGTTTGAATGATGAGGTTCAAGATTTCTCAAGTCTTGAATAATCTCGTCAAGTCTAGAATTTTCTTGTGATCTGTCTAAAATTATTTTGTCTATGTCGTCAAGAAATTCTTTAGTGAATCTCTACTCTGGAAAGAGCGTCCGCATTTGTATTTAATTTACCCTTTTTATATAGTATTGTATAGTCATATTCGTCTAGTTTTATTCTCCAACGTAACAATTTGGAGTTGGGGTCTTTTAACGAAAATAACCATTGTAGTGGTTTGTGGTCCGTGATAATATTGAATTTTTTTCCAAATAAGTATGGGCGAAAATATTTCGTGGCCCATACTATTGCCAAAAGTTCCCTCTCGATTACGGAGTAATTTTGTTCTGACTTATTTAATGTTCGCGACGCATACGCAACTGGAAGGTCTTTTCCGATTGGTCCCTGAGATAAAACCGCACCTAAACTAACATTACTGGCATCAGTGGTTAAATTGAATGGCTTGGAAAAATCCGGGTATTGTAAAATAGGTTCGTTCATCAACAGGTTTTTACAATATTCAAAGCAAGATATATATTCGTCGTTAATTTCAATTTTTGCGCCCTTTTTTAAACAGTTAGTAAGTGGTTTAGTAATTTTTGAGAAGTTTTTGATAAATCTACGGTAATAACCCAATAGTCCCAAAAATCCTTTTATTTGTTTGGTAGTTTTTGGGATCGGAAAATTTTTGATGGCTATTATTTTATCCGGATTTGGGCGTACCCCCTCAGGTGTTACGATGTGGCCCAAGTACGCCACTTCTTTCCGCAAGAATTCGGATTTATCTAACTGGATTTTAAAGTTTGAATCACGAAGTCTTTGAAAAACGCATCTAAGTCTATCAATATGTTCTTGT